GAAAAGGGGTAAGAGGAATATTTTCTACTTTACCATAAGTTTCTTGTTCCCCCGCGAATCATCTGAAGAGGCCTTTGTGCGTTTTTTGCTGAATCCATAGTGGTTCAATTGGCGAATGAAGGTCTTCATGCTGTCTGTTTCAAAAATCCTGTCTGTGCCTCTCCTGCGAAGAATTTCCCTCTGGAAAAGGTCTTCCTCGATGATCACGGTGTGTCCGTCATCATCCCAGCCCACAGACTTGAAAGCGTCATCCTCAACGATCTTCCAGAGCCTCCTCGGGAAGGACAGTGTTCTGGGGTCACTGTCTTCCACACGGGATGCGCGTTGGTTTTGATCTGCTGGTTGTTCATCATTTTGGGAGTCTGTATCTTGTCCCACAGCTTGGTCACGTTGTCTGTCTGATACCTCCCTCGGATCCAGGTTTGGATCAGGTGGGACCCCGCCTGCTGGCTCTCCACCAGAAGATGAGGCGAGCTGGGTTAAACTGTCGTCAGTATCCTGACTATCCATGAGGCTACACTGTCATCAGGAGCAGTTTGTACACTACACCATTAACCACTGCCCCAGAAAGTACAAACTGCTTTCAGTCTGAGTGGTGATGCCCAATAAATACTGTCCACATGATTCTAGAATCTCAGTAGGGGGGCAACCAGGGCTTGTCATGTGATGTCACATAGGTGGCTCATGGCCAGTCTGGAGATTGAGCCCTGGCCAACTAATGGGGTGGAGCCAGTGGCTGGGCAACCCTGCTTCTCTCTTTTCTAAAATTGTAGAAAGGGTGGTTGAGATTCCTAGAAATGTTTCCCCTGTGGTGACAGACATATGGTTTCACGGGGCCCACCCCTGGATGAGGTGAGCAGCCTNCTCCTCATTGGGCGGCTCACTGGGAGACATTTCTAAGAGGGAAGCCATCACAATGGAATAATAGATGTTATACAGAGACATTGGGAGACCATTGCCTGGGTAAATTGGGAGATGGGGGAGCGGGTCCCCTCAAACTTCCAACTCAGGGTTGGCCCTGGGCTCAAACCTAACATTCACAGAAGTGGCCCTTTCCCAACTTGGATCATTTGGCTCTTGAGGGGGACGATTTCCTATGTGATGTCTACCAACACTGCCCCTAGACCCTGTACCCCCAGGGAACATGGAGAACTGAGGGTTACTGGGACCCTGAACATTTGGGGCTTCCCCCTGGGGCTTGCTGTTCGCTTCTTTCTTGATATTAATGTGTTGGATTCGCAGGGATTGTCTCGTAGGTACCAGCTTCTTTCTCTTTGAGGTTGCTGCACAGGTTGCTGGCACAGCAGTGTTTCTGAGGTCACCTTTCTATGAATGTTCTCAGGGAGCCCAGGATGATCTCTCTGAAAATTGGGGTTCCTGTAAAGCTGAAACAAAAGGAAACATTTCAGTCATTCTCAGATTAGATGTCCATTGCTTTTATCCCCCTGAATCACAAGAGTCTTATTTCATGATGGAGAAAGGAAATGTTTAAGGTGCTGTCAAGTGTCACTGTGCCCTATAGCATGACCTCACTAGAGAGAAACAATTCATAAGTGAGGGTGGCAGTATGTACATTTGACATTCCCTGGCTCTCAGAGTCTCTACTCCTACCCACAGAGTATCTCTAAGGGCATGGTAAATTAAGATCAAAATTTTGATCTTTCAATAAATAATTCCTCATGTTAAAAAAAGTTGTCTTCACAAATGAAACTCTTGTAGTATGTCATTCACCTTGGCGTCCTGTAAAGATGTTTGAGTAACAGAGAAAAGGGGTAAGAGGAATATTTTCTACTTTACCATAAGTTTCTTGTTCCCCCGCGAATCAGCTGAAGAGGCCTTTGTGCGTATTTTGCTGAATCCATAGCGGTTCATTTGGCGAATGAAGGTCTTCATGCTGTCTGTTTCAAAAATCCTGTCTGTGCCTCTCCTGCGAAGAATTTCCCTCTGGAAAAGGGCTTCCTCTATGATCATGGTGTGTCCGTCATCATCCCAGCCCACAGACTTGAAAGTGTCATCCTCAACGGTCTTCCAGAGCCTCCTCGGGAAGGACAGTGTTCTGGGGTCACTGTCTTCTACACTGGACGTATGTTGGTTTTGATCTGCTGGTTGTTCATCATTTTGGGAGTCTGTATCTTGTCCCACAGCTTGGTCACCTTGGCCGTCTGATAACTCCCTCGGATCCAGGTTTGGATCAGGTGGGACCCCGCCTGCTGGCTCTCCACCAGAAGATGAGGCGAGCTGGGTTAAACTGTCGTCAGTATCCTGACTATCCATGAGGCTACACTGTCATCAGGAGCAGTTTGTACCCTACACCATTAACCACTGCCCCAGAAAGTACAAACTGCCTTCAGTCTGAGTGGTGATGCCCAATAAATACTGTCCACATGATTCTAGAATCTCATTACTGAGCCAACCAGGGCTTGTCATGTGATGTCACATAGGTGGCTCACGGCCAGTCTGGAGATTGATCCCTGGCCAAGTGTTGGAGTGGAGCCAGTGGCTGGGCCACCCTGCTTCTCTCTTTTCTAAAATTGTAGAAAGGGTGGTTCAGATTCCCAGAAAAGTCTCCCCTGTGGTGACAGACATATGGTTTCACGGGGCCCGCCCCTGGATGAGGTGAGCAGCCTTGATCCCATGGCCACTCCCACCCCTGAAGATGGGGGAGGCCTGTTGCTGACCTCTCTCGTTTGCTCAAGGGCCAGTCCTCAGATAGAACTAATATCGGTATCGCCAGGACTGTCTGGGTCAGCTGGGCCTCTGGGTG